CTAGCTATTTATCTTGGTGGTTTTCTGGCTATTTTTATGATTGATTTATGGCTATGTATCTATCTATCTATTTTTAAAGCTAAGAAAATACATTTAGACTGTAAAGATTTTGTCGACAATAATATTTTTTACTGATATATGTTCTATTAATTAAACACTCTCTGGTTGAAGAAGAGGTCGATTCTTATTGTCCTAAGATTATTTGCGTGTAACTGAATATAATGAACGTGACTCGAATTAAAACTCAGCTCAGGACTTCAATTCCAACCCATATCCATTATGCCACACTTACATCTATGGTTGCAACACCTGATTATTCAAAGAGGTCACCCATCTAAGTATGACAATGTACGGCGTTGTTAACTTAGATATAAAATAAAATTCGTCAAGAGGCATATAATGTGGTTGTTTTGTCTTTCTGTTTAATCATATCAAACATTCCTTGGAAAATGCCAAAAAGTGAAAAGCGACACTTTTTCAATCATACCAAGAGTTTGAGTCTTATAGTCCCCAAAATAACATAGTGTAATGTGGCTGAAGAAACAGTATTTCTTGAAATGGGACTTCTGAGCAAGGAAAACGTAATGGGAAATATGTGTCCCGTAGATTGAATAAATTATTCCATTTTATATTCAATGAGGGTTATCCAGAGGATCGATCAATCGATTTTTTGAGTATGACACATAATATTGAATAACGGATGTATCAGGTTTAGTTTCAATTCTAAAATGAAAACATTATTGTAATAATGAACTAATGAATTAACATTTTCAATAACATCTAACATCTACATATGATTTAGCCTAGGGAGAATTACTTAAAATGATAATTTCGATAGAATATCATATAAATTAATTAATAGTCCTTTTGATCTATACTAGTTTGGATATTACAAAACTTTCTATATATTATTTACGTCCGATTAAAATATTAAACACTGATCTTAACCTCAGCTGTCAACAAATAATGATAGAGGCATAAAAAGGTTAGAATTTAAAGTATAACAATTCGCTATTTTAAACTAATAAAATGTGGCAAATGAAGGCAAATTGTAATAAATATATGTAATATTTGCAGAAGCCAAAAATGGTTAAGCGTATATTAAAATGTCTGAACCTGTCAATGAAGCTGACGTAAAGAAATGTATAGGCAGCGCTACATTAAATCTTAGGAAAAATATTAAGCAATCACCATCGTTAGTCATACTTAGTGTATATCCTTCGTTCTACCCTGTCGTCAAAAACTGAGGTGATAGTCAGTATCACTGTGACATCTATGTGGATCGACTCCAGAAGAACAATTGTGTAAAGATAATAAAGAAATGAGTGGGTGTTCGATAAACAAGATGGTGGAGCTGGTCCTAAAGTCCAATTTTGCGTTACTTCATGCGAAGTATTAAATATGTGTCGAGACAGATGAAAAATTGTGAAAGCTGACAGAAGAATAAATTTCACAGTTTGTGTGTGTTAATCTGATGCTGAGGTAGTATCAATGCTAAACTGTCTCACACAACACAGTGGATAAAAATTCCTCGTTGCAGATATTTTAGTTGATCCATTCTTATCGTTCCAGTTCATGTCAGCTGATATACGGATCGGGTAAAGTCCAAATATAGTATCTTGTTTGAAGTATATTTAGCTTTCTGTATTTTGGAATTGTTTTATCATCAGAAGCTAATAAAATTTAAATCTTCCAATATTTAAGTAATTCCGAAGTTTGGTAAATCATTATCAAAATATATTTGGCTTCTGCTATGTCAGATTCATTATACTGAATACAGCGTCTTAACAAATTATGTCCATTGTTATTATATATTTCGCCATCACGCATCAAATAACTAAGAATAAAGGAAAGCCTTATGACCTATACGGATAATACTTCTTCTTCTTCTTCTTCTTCTTGTTATTCTTCTTCTTATTATTATTATTATTATTATAATTATTATAATTATTATTATTATTTTAATAGTAAGAAGTAGTATTATGTAAGTGCATGTACCTACCGATGCGCAGACACGCACACAAAAAATATATATATATATATATATATATATATATATATATATATATATATATATATATATATTTGTGTGTGTGTGTGAAAAGTCTCTGTATATATATATATATATATATATATATAATTATTTATATATTATATGCGCGGTACTTATTAAAAATCGCTCAATATCAGAGACAAAGCTAACATTTTTGGAAGGATTGATGTGAGTTTGTGATACTGTGTTTCACGCTTTTGCGATCGTCAATATATATATACAAGTATATATATATATATATATATATATATATATACAAGTCATATATATATATACATGTGCAGAGAGCTAAACACGCGCGCACACACATACAGACATACGCACGCACCTGACAAACACGCACGCACCTGAAAAACACACACGCACACATGCATATATATATATATATATATATATATATATATATATATATAATATAAATCCCTGCAAATGTAAATTGATTTTCATTGAGCTCTCAGGATTTCATCTTCCTTTGACTAGCCATACGTACTGGCAAGTTTTTCATGTTAACTGGATATATCATCCAACGGTGCCCTATTGGCGCTACCTTTTTGTGCAGGTGACACTTTACCATATATATATATATATATATATATATATATATATATATATATATATATATATATATATTTATTTAGGCTCAAGCACTGATATTTCCGGCTTATAATTTATTACATTTGAATCTTAATCACGATTCAATTCATCAGACCTACAAATTCAAAATTTTTGATGAATTGTAAGTCTGATGAATTGGATCGTGATTAAGATTCAAATGTAATAAATTACCACTATGGAATATCAATGCTTGAGCATAATATATATATATATATATATATATATATATATACATATATATATATATATATATATATATATATATATATATCTTAAACTGAATTTAGACATCTACTTTACCCTTTATACTTTCTGTGATTTATATTTCAAAAACTTCAAATCAATAATCAATTTTCAATGACCGACGAAGCCTCTATAGAAAAATAAATAACGTTTTATTGATTTGTCCAATTTCAAACAGACAGCACAGCTGGGAATCTACAAACACTTAAAAATATTTACCATAGGTGGCCTGCAGTTTGCTTTCAAGTTGGTTGGAGTTGACCAATGTTTCCATATTTATAAATAAAACAAACCTAGATGCAACTGCACAGTACATATACATTTCCCATAGAAGATAATTGTTTATAAATCATATTGTCTATTTGGCAAAAACAGAGATAGATAAAAATAATAATCTATCTAGTGAAGAGATAATATACACAAGGTCTACTGAAAATGAATGGGAAAAAGTTACATTAATTATAAACTGAGATCTGTAACTGCGACTAAAGAGAAATAGGTAATCGGCTAAAATTATTTAGAGTATATATAAAAATCTTATACATGAAATAACGCCAGGGATAGCTGAAGTTTCTGCTTGGAAGAAAAACTGCGATACAGAGTGTAATAAAAACAGAATCAGTGAATAAACTTATACGAAAGATTTATTGCACTTTACTTTCTCTACTTGTCTACTGACGATATTCAGTCATCCCCCCCACGAGGGTGTCATGTGGCACAAGGCCTTTTTAACGTGGGCATTCCGAGCCATTAGGCTCAGCCAAAAAATAGCCTATTGAACCCGTATAAACGGTTTCAGGGCCGGCTTTACCTCCCCGAAGGAGACTCCGCCCTTCGGCGTAGCCTCCTTCGGGTTCCTCCCGCCCGTAGGAAGAGAGTTGAACCGGACAGTCGCTCAGAAAGAGACAATTAATCCAGAGAGTTTTTTTGTACTTCCTAGATCTTCAGCGGACGTAACAGATGATTTATCAGAACATTCTCCACTACATATTTTACGCATAAGAAAGATAAAAATCTGGTGTTCAGGCTCTTTCCAGATTTTCTGTGAAAGTCTGGGTAGTTCTTGTATTGGATTATTTGGGCTGGAAGGTCTCTCATTTTCCGTTTGCCTTTTAGTCCGGGAATGGAAATTTGTTCTCCTTCTTGATGGACGAGGCTGCTCTGAGTCTGTATGTGGATCTTCTGGATCTCTTTCCTGGATGTACCCGCTTCTTGACCATTGTCTGCTCATAATAATCATCTAGAGTTGTCAGGGTCTCGGATGTTAATCGCTCTAAAATGTCTGATGGAAACACAACTGAAGCTGTTTCATCGATTGGTTTTTTGTCTCAAAGATATCAGATTTGTTACATCGCCATCAGAAGCCAGATCTCTGAGAATGTCGGTAGTTTGCCTTCCAACGTGATGTCGCACGAGTACGTATTGGGGATTTGATTCTATTATTCCCACCTCGTCTACGAGGGGGTCATGTATGATATAGCGGAAGTGGCGTCTCAGTAGAACCGTACCTTGTTGAGAGAGCCAAGTGCGAAGCGAAGTCCCAGCTGAACACCGTCTTTGGAAGGGTAGAAATATTTCGTGTGGTGTGGAATTGGTGGTCGTGCATAATAGCAATACAGGTCAACTACAAGGGGATCGTCCCAATTATTCATTAATCTTTTGTGTATTGAAGCAGCCAATTAAATTATTTTCCATATTGCACCGTAATATCTCTCGCATTGACCGTTACCCCGAGTGTTTTACGGGGTTGTCCGAATTACTGCCACTCTGCATTCATGTAAGAATTGCCGAAGTCGCTCCGACATAAAGGAAACTCTTATGTCTGAATATATGTATGCCGGTATTCCAGTGACTGCAAATAAGGAACAAAGGCACTGTATAATTGCTATTGTAATCATATCTGGACAGAGAACGACAAAAGGAGACCGTGAATATTCGTTTGCAATAGTTAGTATATATCGGTTTCGTGTTTTGGATGATAACAGGTCTTTAATTCTAGATTGTCTTTCAAATAGCTGCGGTGCTTTTATTACGATTCCAAGCGTAATTCTCTAAAATTTATGTTTTATCCATTCGGGAGGAATATTTA